GGAGCAAAGAGAAAGAAAAGACGGCACTGACTCACAACTGTCACAGTTGTGAGTCAGCGCCGCCTTTCTTTTTGTTTTGCTCCTTGCCTGTCCTTTGTTTCTGGTGTTACGCTGTAAACAAGTTTGCGATGTCGACTGACACCCTTTGTCGAGAGCTGTGGTAATTTTCTCAAACAAAATGTTTTACGTTTGGCGAAATCGCACAGCACAGGCTGGCATTTGGCCTCCATCTAAAGGCGAACACATGCCGCTGCGTCATCTCGTTCTTTCCTATTCGTGTTTCGTTGCATGCATTAGCGCAAACAAGGAAACCGGTTGCACACGCTGCTGTTTTTGTGACAGCAGCTGCCATCGCTGAAATTATTATGGCGCACGTTTGTGGGCACGCAGATTTATCACCAGCCTTCTTTCGTTCTGACCGTCTGTCAGTTCATTTTGAACAGAAAGAAATAGTTCAGTAAGTGCCCAGGAAGGATGATTGCGAAGGTGGTAGGGCGCTTTCTGAACCTACGACCAAATCTAGAATAAAAGAAGAGCTTGGTTTTGTCTCTGAAAAAAAAAAAGCGAATGAAATTATGGTCGTTCTGAGCACAAGGGGCGGCGTTAATGGTGACTGATAGAGCAGAGAGGTTGCGGGACAAAAGTCCGGGTATGTTCTGACGCAAATATTGTTTTAAAAGCGATAGTGTTAGATATCCCTTGTTGCAGAAATTCCGCCGTCGGCGTCAGCCCCGTTGATTTTCAACGAAAAATCGTCCATGAGTTAAAAGCTTATTACAAAGATCACCGCAGGAGGTCGCTACTTGTCCACGCATGTGCGTGCGATCACACTAAAAAAGCCGTGCATTCAAAGAAAAAAAGAAAAAAGTGCTCAAGGTCACGAGGCCTGGGTCACGTAGTTTTTTGCCCTGCCATCCCTCCGTGCTTAGCCAGGCTTAGCTTCCAGCGCTTTCGCCGGGACGAGAGAAGAGAACGTGCAATCGCACCATGCGACAAACCTTCGCAAGTCCACTCGCACTGAACGGATTCTTAAAACTTTTACGGTGTTCAATTCCTGAGGAAATAAGCTCTTCCAGTGAAGAGCCTGGAAGAGTACAAAAGTACTTTGTGAAGCGTATTAGCAGAGTGCGAACAACGAAAGTGTATCTCGAATCGAGTAGTGTCGAACAGCAACTCGAAATATAAAATAGCGAAGCGAATATGAAGTACGAAAAATGTTGTTGAAAATCGAAAAAAGAGCGAAGAATCCAAGTATGCTCGTGCTCTTGACGTATACATAGCGTGGAGGATGACTGCTACCGAAAGCCTACATTGTTAGTAAGAAAGAAAAACTGTTCAACACTACCATGCTGTAGGCTCTCGCACCTTGATGGCATGCGGTTCGCTGCTCATCTGACTAAAGCAATGCTGTGCTTCATTGGCCTGCATGTTTGGCCTGAGAATACCTGAGGGCCCGTTGACAGCTGCCTTTAGATGACAGCTGCCTTTAGCTGACAGCTGCCTTTAAACTGCACGCTGGAATGGTGCGAGTTTTTTAAAGAGTGGCGTGGTTCGGCTGTGGCGACTGCACAGGGGAAGTGAATCTTAAATGAAAAGAAGATAAAAGTGAGCCCCATAACTGTCTAACAAGGGGAGGACACCTGAACAGTAGCTCCCGAGGGATGAGGGTAAAGAGGGATTAAAAGAATAGGAATTAAAGGTATAGAGATAAAGAGAGGGGCAGGGACAGCCCCATATAGAAGTAAGGAGAAGATAAGAAAAATGGACACGGTTGCAGACGTCCGAGGACGGGGCACCATTCGGGGAGAGCGCTTGTCGGTGTCAGGAGATGGCGCAGGGTGAGCCAGTCGGCCAGAGCTGTGCTGTCATTGGAGATCGCGGGGGCATAACCGGTCGGCACACGAAATATATGAATACAGAAGCGAAGCTAGTCACCGAAGATTTCAGGGGTCGAAGTCGGGTTGTTTAACAGTTTGAGACGTACGCGACCAAAGAACGCAGAAAATCACACCTTAGTTATAAACTCGAAGTTGTGAAGAGCCTGCACATTTCTTGTGTGTTTTCTATTACGTAAGAAAATCGCACAATGCACTTTAAAATAAGCATTCGCTTTCTTTTGAACCAGAATATATAAGTGATAGTTTTAACGGAAGGCCATTCTACGACATTGCACTCTAAGCCCAAAGAGTGAAGAGGGTCGGTGGTTCGTCCTTTGGGAGGTAACTGCATACCAAACCCATTACCGCAAAGGGTGAACGATTCGTCCTTCAAGGAGTAAATGTCACGGACTGAACTGTCATATCCTAGTAGGTTTGTGGGCGAAATGTCGGGGTGTAAATAGTACCCCTTTATGTGAGGAACTGATTTATTTGCCTTTTTGAATTGTGATGCATGAGACTACACCTTTGCTTAGTACAAAACGGTGTTTCGCAAGCAACCACTCCATGCTAACGTTCGTAGAAACGTAAAATACGCTGAATTCGTTTTCCTGCGCGCGTGCATCGAGGGCATTTTTATGCTTGATGAGTGTATGTATATAAAAGTTGACACATATCTTCCGTCGCCATTTCAAGCTTGCGGGCTGCTCATTCTAAAGAACACGGTTGATTACATCGTTCAGGGAAATGTCTGTTTAAGGAATGATTGATTGATATGTGGGGTTTAAGTCCCAAAACCACCATATGATTATGAGAGACGCCGTCTGTTTAAGGAGGAAAAACGAAAAAACGAAAATAAACTAGACTGCTTGAAGAAGCACTCTAGTTTATTGCACCAATCATGCCAATTCTACAGCGTCACGTGTACATACCACTTCAAGAACTTTGATAAATATGGAATATAAGGTGGCTTTCCTGCATTCAAGGAGAAACAATGAAAAGTTCAATGTTTTATTCGAATGAATACTGTCCAGCCGACTTAAGAAAGTGCAACCGCACCATCGACCGCTGCTGAGAGCGTGTTCATAGCTGGGAGTGTTTGAAGACTTTTATCGGGAGCCGAAACGCTAATTCATCGATTTCATGAAAAAAAAGTAATACAGAAAATTCTTACCTGCAGTACTACTTTTGTGCACTCTTATTTACGTCCAATGACCTGTTACTTAAGGGTTAGACGAAAACGGCGCTTTTACACAACCAGTCATAAGAAATTGAACAGCTCAGAATGTGTTGTGCAGTTTAAAAAGCGCGTTCTTGAGTTTAACGCTTCAAGCATACGCATACGCAGCGATACGCTGTGGACCCACTTACTTATTAATGAAGCTTGTTTTTTATTTTAGTATAAAAAGTTCAGATTCAGTAGCATCGCTACAACTGGCGAAGTCGTCGATGTGGGCGCCGACTGCCTGTGTTAGTGAAGCAAAGTCTTCAGCTAGACGTGCAAGCTTAACAGCCAAACTTCCTAAATGTCGCTGTCCTTGCAATAGAAGACATTCAGAGGAGCTTACGGGAAATATGAATTTGGTTTCAAAAAGCTGTGAAAATTGCTGATAAGCGATGCGTATTTGTGTGGACACTGAAAACAAAAAAAGTTTTTGAACAGCTGTTCACTACGGAGGGGTTCACGCAGCACTTTGTTTGGCTGGTAATCTTTGTGTTTTGTATCTTTAACGACTAAACTTGCAGTGTCGTGGTAGATGCATACACATGAAAATAGTTAGGTTTACGCAAATCATGCTTTATGGTCTTATAGATACACATCTCAAGATATAAAAACAAAAAAAAAAACCATTGACTTAACGGCCCAAGATGGCATCACACAGCTAGTGTTGAGCCCTCATCAAGTGCGCGCCTTACGGTGGCTCAGCCATCACGCTTGCAATTTCATAGCAGGCGGGCCGGCACTTGCAACGTTGTGTAGTGCGACCTCATCAACAATGCATGTTTTGCTCGCGAAGAACGTGAAGACTCAACAAGCGGTGACCATTAAATATCAAAAGCACACGTGTAACTCATGCGGAGTGATAGTAGACTTGTTTACACTCACCTCTCAGGTGATGCCCGAGTTGGCGCGAAGCATTCGATAACGTAGCACGTCCTTCTAATAGCGAGTCACGTTTACCACAACGCCAAGATGGTTCGGTGCACCACAAGCGAAAGCGATTGCAACCAAAAAACGAGAACACATTCTCAGCATACCACTACACCGTCGATGGTTAGCTTGCAGAGAACACCACACCGTGATTTAAGACAGCCTGGGCGCGAGTTTTTTTTTTATTTCTCCTTGGAGATGGACAGTGCTTACACACTTGCACACGCTTGTGCTATTAAATGGCATTACTTTACTGCTGCCGGAAATGCCGTAGTTGTCATGACCATTTTGACTGAAATAAATTGTAAACAGTTCATTTCTATAGGGGAGTATTTGCTTACACGCATGCTGACCATTCCCTCAAGGCCGCCACTTCACCGGAGAGTCTATGGCAGTAAAAATTGCTCCACGTGGTCTGATAGTTCCTCCTTCGGTTTGCTCACGGAACCCTTGTCTTGCAGTTGATCCCTCCACAGATGAACTATTCATTGCAGAGACAAAATGCAGCACTTACTCCAATTTAGCTCTTTTTCGGCTTAAAACGACAGCGTTAGTTATAACCTACGTACCTTAGTCAAGTTTCACCATTGCCCATAGTCACGTTATAAATATATGTCCTGCCAATTATTCGAAGCGTGGAATTACTAGCTATGCGAGAAGAGAGACAAATTATTCATTAAATACAGAACTGCAATATTCACATACCTCTAAAGCAGTCTACTAATCAGGTTTCAAGCCAATAATAAACACCTCCTCCGGCATGCTGAAACGAGAAGATTGTGAATAAAGGAATTGCAGCACCTAAGGATGAAAAGTAGTAGAAACATTATTTCTTGAAAAGACCGGCTGCTTGGCAGGTGTGCTGAAAGGTGTGTGCAAGAATTTTGTCTAAAAAGCGTAAGGCACGCGTATCAAGGGAAAGCTATAAGAAAGGAAATGAAAACCCATGACTGTTCCTTGGAAAAGTAATGGGTGGAAGTAGGATGCTACCGAACGTACGTGTGAATAATTTCACCAACTCCATCGCTGAAGCAGTATTTATAGGAATGAGTATTCTTTCTATGTCATCGGTGTTCAAATAAAAGTAATGCATTTGGTGACTCTAGAAAGCACTCGAAACTGCTTCATTAGCAAGTGTTTTTTAGGTTTCAAAGGGCAGTGTATGATGGCCTGCTGAAACAATAGAAACTCTGGTATAATAATGACTGCGCAATGAATATGCGAATAACTTTTACTTCCCTATGGTGTTAAATTCTCACTGCTCCTGAAAATTTGTACTCTATAAAAAGAGATCGTTGACAGTCACCATTATTGCGTTATACTGCCCCAATTCGCTCGAGATGCCAAGCTCTCGGCTAGGCAACTGGTTTTGTTTTATAGCGCAAACTCTATGAAAGTGTTGCGAACGAAGGATAAATCTGAAATATCGCAAGGACACGGCGTATTAGCATGATCCCCTCATTCAATTAGGAGCTGCCGACAGGAACACTTTATAGGCAGTGTATATCGAAGCTTTTTATGAATAAAAGTTGCGTTACGATCAACGGCAGAACTTAGAGGGACGCTATAAGTTACTCATCTGAAATTCAGATTGCTCACAGCAGTGTCATCTCCTGTTACATTTATAGCGATGTACGAAAAGGAACCTTGGATCGGCAGTGCATCGCTTTAGCAATTTTCGAAATGTTTACGACATTGGCACATTTTTGTAGTTTTTTGGAGGTAGGGAGGCAGGAGGGGGGGGGGTTTCTCACGAAGAAAAGTGTGTACTTATTTTATACTTCTGTTCATATAATCACTAACGCACGTACTTGTCATCAGTGATCGTGCTCCTAGTTACGTAAGTTCTCTCTGAAGGGCACCCGTTCAGGCATATACGAATGTCCAAACTCAGATTCCTTCACTTTTGAAATAACATTCATTCTCCCCAACAATTTTTATTCACTCTTATCTCTGCATGTTTCAGTTCACACGTAGCAGCACCTACTCATGGTTGTAGGCTTGTGAACTTCCTATGTGAGCCACCCAATCATGTGAATACCAACCTACACTATCATGGTTTTACTCGAGTCTGCAGTAGCTTTTATTGAAACTTTCCGTGATGACATGAATTACGTGCGCAATATGGTGACCTAATACACATCACACGTTTCGATGAAACGGTAAAACCTATTTTTTTAATAGTCTTCAAGGAAAAGAATTCTGAGGGATTGTTTCTTCGCTTACACATCCCTAAGTAACGGTAACGAGTACTTGACGCAGACTTGAAAAGCAGTGTGTCAAACTTACAGAATGTAGCTAGTGATATAAAAACAAAACATATAGAGAACCATGCTAAAGAGACAACTTTGAAAAATATGGTTAGCAAAACAATGCTCAACCTCTTCAAAGTGAGGGCTGCATTGCAGTAGTGTTGAAGTGTCATACGAATGCGCCTTGTGGCTGTTTTTTAGATATGCGCAATTCTGTTCTTCTAATGTAGCCATACCAACCACTATGAGTGGGAGTTTGTTTCTGCTAAAAACACAAGTTTTTGGTGGTTTGAAGCATGGTTGATTTACCAAGCATATGATTGTTTTGTGAAAACCTGCCACTTTGTTTTTTTTTCTGCAGCGCTTACTGGTATCACAGTGCTTCATCTACCTGATTCCAACATTAGTGGCCGCAGTCTCTATGTGCAGTAAGTTGGACCAGCATTTTTTGTTTATATTTGGGAAGACGACCTTATGTAACGACCATATTTGTAGTTATTAGATGCGAACTAGCTCTTTGACTACGCTGTGTAGCGCTGCCTCTGCGTACGAACGTGTCGCATGCTGCAGGTGTTGGCGTGGTGCCAAGTAGGTCACGGTGCTGCTGTGCGCTGACGTCACTCTCTCACTCGCCTGCCGCGCGCTCACCGCGGCGGCCCACACCTCCCGCCTCGTCCGTTAGCCCACTTCTTGGTTGACGCGCAATAAACCTGACGCGTGCCAAGCGTACGCGTGAAACATGCCCGTACATGTCACCAACAAGGCCTATGCCAGCTATCACTTCAAACGAGTCTTCCAGCGTTCAGCGCCGGTCCAACCCGTGACGCACCAGTGAGCAGCGCTGCTCTTTCGCATTCCATCAGCGTTACCTTCAGGGAGATGGCCCAAGTTTTATTAGTAACACGAACACACTTGTTGCTTATATGGAGCAATGTCGACCTAGAGAACTCAAGGTTTTGCATACATTGGTTGAGGACTTGTAACTGGCACACACCCGACGCATGAAAAAATGTGATGCCCTGTATAAGCATTGAGGTTAAAACATGTGTAGTGGTGCTACCCTCACCACTCTAGGGAACACCGCTGCAATGATAATGCTGTACTCTCGTGTCTGCTGTGTTGAATGTAGTCATATAGTCATTCTGCATCCAACTTACCAGTATCAAATAAAACAATCTTGACGAAAAGACAATCAAAACATCAGTACGGAGTGTTCTTGAACTGAAACGGCAACATTTTATAAATTTATAGTATCCGGCTAAATATCTCTATGAAGGTAAACAACTCTATTGGGGCGTGTTCAACAATTCAAAACCGGAATGAAATTTTTCAAGAATGATGACCCTACTCCATGAACCTATTTCTATTGTGAAACAATATTACATCTCCGCCTTCTGTGATTGTCAGCTAACATTGAAGAGCTTGGAAGAACAAAAAGTACTTTGTGAAGCGTATTAGGAGTGTGCGAACACGAAAGTGTATCTAGAATCGATAGTGTCGAACAGTAACTCGAACTATAAATATGAAGCGAATATCAAGTATGAAAAATGTGAAAATTGAAAAAAAGACACAAAGAAACCAGATCTCTCGTGCTCTTTACGTAAACATAGCGTGGAGGGTGACGCTACCCAATGCCTAATTATTATTAAGAAAGAAAAACTCTTTCACACTACATGCTGTAGGCTCTCGCACCTTGATGACATGCGGTCGCGGCTCATCTGACTAAGCAATGCTGTGCTTCATTGGCCTGCGTGCTTTGGCCTGAGAATACCTGAGAGCCCGGTGACAGCTGCCTTTAAATGTGCGCCGGAACTGTGCGAGTTTTTCACGCAGTGTTGTGTTTCGGCTGTGACGACTGCACAGGAGGAAGTGAATCTAAATGAAAAGAAGATAAACGTTAGCCCCATAAGTGTCTCACAGGGGGAGGACACCTGAACAGTAGCTCACGAGGGATGAGGGTAAGGAGGGTTTAAAAGAATAAGAATTAAATGTATAGAGATAAAGAGAGGGGCTGGGACAGCTCCATACAGAAGTAAGGAGAAGATAGGAAAGATGGACACGGTCGCATACGTCCAAGGACGGGCACCATTCGGTGAGAGCTCTTGTCGGTGTCAGGTAATGGCGCAGGGTGAGCCAGTCGGCCAGAGCTGCGCTGTCATCGGAGATCGGGGGCACAACCGGTCGGCACACGAAATCTGTTAACTTATCAGAAGCGAAGCCAGTCACCGAAGGTTTCAGGGGTCGAAGTCAAGTCGTTTTACAGTTGCGACGTACGCGACCAAACAACGCAGAAATCGCACCTTAGTTACAGACTCGAAAGTTGTGAAGAGCCTGCACATTCTTGTGTGTTTTATTTTACGTACGAAAATCGCACAATCTCCTTTAAATCAAGCATTCGCTTTCTTTTCAACCATAATATGTAAGTGAAAATTTTAACAGAAGGCCGACTCTAACAACATTGCACTCTAAGCCAAAAGGGGTGAAAACGGGTCGGTGGTTCGTCCTTTTGGGGGGAAACTGCATTGCCACAACCATTATTTTGCTTAGGGTGAACGATTCGTCCTTCAAGGAGTAAATGTCAGGAGATGAACTGTCATCCCTCAGTAGTTTTGACGGGCTAAATGTCGGGGTGTAAATAGTACCCGTTTATTGCAGGAACTGAATTATTTGCCTTTTTGAATGAGGGACTGCATTGGGACTACACCTTAGCTTAGTACAAAACATTGTTTCGCAAGCAACCACTCCATGCTAACGTTCGTACAAATGTAAATACGCTGAATTCGTTTTTCTTGTGCGTGTGCATCGAGCGCATTTTTATGCTTGATGAAGTGTATGTATATATAAAAGTTGACACATATTCTTCCATATCGCCATGTCAAGCTTGCGAGCTGCTCATTCTAAAGAACACGGTTGATTACATCGTTCAGGGAAAAGATCTGTTTAAGGAATGAAAAACGAAAACGTTCAAAGAAGCAGTCTAGTTTATTGCGCCACTCGTGCCAATTCTCACAGCGTCACGTGTACATATCAAATAAGAACTTTGATGAATACGGAATAAGAGGCGGCTTCCCTGCTTTCAAGCAGAAACAATGAAAAGGTTCAATCGACCGCTGCTGAGAGCGTGTTCATTGCTGGGAGTTGTTGAAGACTTTCTCGGGAAGCCGCAAACGCTCTAATTCGTCGATTTCATGAAAAAAAAGTAATTGCATTTCATAAAAAAAAAAAGTAATCGATTTCATGAAAAAAAAAAGTAAAAAAACATTCATTACCTGCAGTACTACTTTTTGTGCACTCGTATTTACATCGAATGATGCCTGTTACGTAAGGGTTAGACGAAAACGGCGCTTTTACACAACCTGTCATAAAGAATCGAACAGTTCAGAATGTGTTGTGCAGTTCAAGAAGCCCGTTCTTGAGTTTAACGCTTCAAGCATTCGCAGCGATACGCTTGTAGGCTCACTTACTTAATAATGAAGCTTGTTTTTTAGTTTAAATATAAAAAAAGTTCAGATTCATGTAGCACACTACAAACTGCGAAGTCGTCGATGTGGGCACCGACTGCCTGTGTTAGTGAAGCAAAGTCTTCAGCTAGACGTGCAAGCTTAACAGCCAAACTTCCTAAATGTCGTTGTCCTTGCAATAGAAGACACTCAGAGGAGCTTACGGGAAATATGAATTTGGTTTTAAAAAGGCATGAAAATTGCTGATAAACGATGCGTATTTGTGTGGACACTGAAAACAAAAAAAGTTTTTGAACAGCTGTTGACTACGGAGGGGTTTACGCAGCACTTTGTTGGGCTGGTAATCTTTGTGTTGTGTACCTTAAGAACTAACTTACAGTGTCGTGGTAGATGTACACACATGAAATAGTTAGGTTTGCGCAAATCATGCTTTGTGGTCTTATAGATACACATCTCAACATATAAAAACAAAAAAAAAAACCATTGACTTAACGGCCCAAGATGGGACTGCTCACACAGCTAGTGTTGAGCCCTCATCAAGTGCGCGCGTTATGGTGGCTCAGCCATCACGCTTGCAATTTCATAGCAGGCGGGGGCGGGCACTCGCAACATTGTGTGGTGCGAACTCATAAACCATGCACGTTTTGCTCGCGAACGAACGTGAAGACTCACAAGCGGTGACCAATTAAATATCAAAAGCACACATGTAAACTCATGCGGAGTGATAGTAGCCTTGTTTACACTCACCTCTCAGGTGATGCGGAGTTGGCGCGAAGCATTTCGATAACGTAGCACGTCATTCTAATAGCGAGTCACGTTTTACCACAATGCCAAGATGATTCGGTGCACTACAAAGCGAAAGCAATTGCAACCACAAAGCGAGAACCCATTCTCAGCACACCACTACATGCTTAGATTGCAGAGAACATCACATCGTGATTTGATACAGCCTGGGCGCGAGTTTTTGTTTTGTTTTATTTCTTCTGGAGATGGAGGAGGCTTACAGACTCGCGCACGTTTTGTGCTGTAAATGGAATTATTTTACTGCTGCCGTATCTTCCGTAGTGGTCATGACATTTTGACTGAAATAAATTGTAAACTATTTATTACTGTAGCGAGTATTTGCTTTCGTGCATGCTGACCATTCCCTCAAGGCCGCCACTCCACCGTAAGGTCTATGGCAGTAAAAGTTGCTCCATGTGGTCTGATAGTTCCTCCTTCGGTTTGCCCAAGGAACCCCTTGTCTTGCAGTCTTGCAGTTGATCTCTCCACAGATGAACTATTCATTGCAGAGAAAAATGCAGCACTTACCTCCAATTTAGCTTCTTTGCGGCTTAAAACGACAGCGTTAGTTATAACCTACGTACTTTATTCAAGTTTCACCATTGCCCGTAGTCACGTTATCAATATTTGTCCTGCCCAATTCTTTGGAAGCGTGGAATACTAGCTATGCGAAAAAGAGAGACAAATATTCAATTTAAATACAGAGATGCAATATTCACATACCTCTAAAGCACGTCTATTAAATTCAGTTTTCAAGCCAAATAATAACACCTCCTCCGGCTTAATGGCTGAAACGAATTATTGTGAATAAAGGTTGCAGTGAAGAGAACATTGCATTTGGAAAGTGTGCGTTGGGTGGCTTTTTGGTGAAACATTTAAGGACCCTCACACATTTTTTGACAAGTAGCCGTAGATGATTTAGGCAAAAAAAAAAAGCTCATAGCCTGACGATTCGCCAGCGCAACAACTTTAGAAATTCGTCCATTATTAGCGGAGTTTTAAAAGATCTACCGCATGCTGCAATTTCTTTTTCTCTCTCTCGTACCTACCAAAACACTGCAAACTGAGCCGAGAAGAACAGAACGGCGGAACAAAATGCGTAACGTGCACCTTTTGACCTTGAGCAGTGTGTTAGGAAGTTTTGAGTACTTGTGTGTGTGTGTGTGTATGTGTGTGGTGTGTGTGTGTGTGTGTGTGGGTGTGTGTGTGTGTGTGTGCAAGCCTCCAAATACATGACAGGTATAGCGCCTACCATATGCCCTTAACAATGAAGCTTGACAATGTAATTCACGTATAAATGCGCATGCTTGTAGATAGGTATATGTTCGACACTGTGAGCTAACCTGCAACTCTATATACTGCAACTGTTTAGATAGAGCTGTCAAGAAAAAAAAGATGCTTAGAGGTAGAGTGAAAAAAGAGATATATATGTTTAACTTAATATTAAAAAAATGTTGTGTTTCTGTGAAACACGTTTTTGTGACCGAGAAAGGTGATTGATTCACGCGGAAGCCTTAAGGCGTAGTGATGATGATGATTTGTGGGGTTTAACGTCCCAAAACCACCATGAGATTATGAGAGACGCCGTAGTGGAGGGCTCCGGAAATTTCGACCACCTGGGGTTCTTTAACGTGCACCCAAATCTAAGTACATGGGCCTACAACATTTCCGCCTCCATCGGAAATGCAGCCGCCGCAGCCGGGATCTTAAGACGTAGTCAACCTTGGCCGAATGTAATGATTGAATTTTAGTGAAAAAGTTCGCAAGGTGACCCATTAGGTTCTTCAGAAAAAAAAGAGACTGATACCATGATATAAAAGACATGTTCCTGGGAATTGATGAGAGCCCGCTTTCATATTTCGAGAACAGGTCTTACAACTCCTTGCCATCAAAGTAAATGCATACGTGCTTATCAAATCATGAATACAGCTGAGCGAAGTATTTTTATAATTGCAATGGAAATGTCGCTGTAAAAGAAGTGCCTGCAAATCATTTTATTGGTGTTTAAGGCATCGCCTTCATAGTGGATAAAAGTGCCGCAAGCTCCGTGTGTGGCTGAACTTGTGCTGACGTCAGAGTGAACGTGCGTTCTTGAGAAAGCAAAGATTTCAAAAAATGAATATCAGCTCGAGACGAGCATAGTCATGCTCGTTTGTTGGTCCTATATGTATCTTATAGGCACACGTTTAAAAAAAAAATGTTGTGGTTTGGGACACAGACAAGGCATGTAAAACCTAAAACGAGGACCTCCTTCTTACCTAAATAACATTGCTCTGAAGGAGAAAAAATGTCCAGAGAAAATGCATGGCGTAGTGAATTATCTGACTGTGCGAGACCGACCCAGTGCAGAGAAAAATGAAGGTAATCACATTTGCTTTCTATTGATTGACGCCAGTTTCTATAAACGTTCAGAACAATATATATTCTGAAAGTTATTTTTGTCTGCAAATGTTAAAGAAAACAAGATATGCTCAACCAAGCTAGTGCACTTTGTCACGCACAAGTTATTTTGATTTGAAGCATGAATGAAATATTACTGTATTAAGTATATGTTTGCTCATTTGCAGATAACCCGGAACTTGCTGCATCAGGCAAAAATATCAGCGTAAAAGTTTCAAGTAAGTGTCCGGATGCCTGAGGTTTCTCGATTGCACAACGCACTGCACACATATTTGAAGAACAATGCTGCACCTCCTTGTCTCAGGGCTAGCAAAATAGCACCGCTGATGAACAAAGTAGAAGAGTGCAATGTTTTGGTGAGGCAGAATGATAAGGTAAAGATGTATACACAAGTTTTGCAGAACGATGCTGAGCAGAATATATTAAATAGAGCCCCACAAAGTACTGGATATCATGCTTTTCGTAAGTCCTGGAGCCTCGTGTCCTAATTTTACAGTGGTGTGCTTAACCCATTGGAAACAAGTTTCTTTTTGCATGTCGTGTAAACAAAAATGCAATGTTTCATAGCATCAGCGTCTCTGTAAATCACACTGAATATTTATACGTGAACACGCTTTGAATTCAGAAATTATGGCTCGTGACCTATACTTCCGTAAGACTCTTTGGGCTCCGCAAAAATGACAAAGTGACGAATTTTATTTCAGGCCTTGAGTCACCGCAAAAATAAATATATAGGTTTTTGGGCTCATAATACAAAATGAAATGAAGCATAGAATGCACATAGCTACGTCTCATTTACTGCAATGTGTGAGCACCGTTCTATTGCAGTCGGCTCTATGCCGCATCTGTACATTTTGCAGTTAGGCACAGTTGCAACGAAGTCGACTGTTTTGTCATTCAAAATGTGAACCACAAGGCGCACTCTCTCCAAGCGTCGGTGTTCTTTAAGGCCAGTTTTTTGTTTGTTTTCCAATCTTCTATGGTAGGTTTGACGTATTTTCCTCCACAGTAGGAGTTGAGTTACGTTGGATGACATTCTGGGAATCAATACAACGATTACCTGCACATTCACTTATGCCATTCGCTTATTCCTATGTCCAAAAGCGAATATTGCTCATCTCCGTAGAGTGAGATTCTGTGGGCCTCTGCGGCTGCATCCATCTGATTAGCAACTCTCGGAAGCAGTTATACAGGGCGAAACACTTGGCTCTTCTTCTGTGCGCTAGAAGATAACTTCGCGTGTAGAGCTTTCATTTCCTACACCTGAGAAGATGTTTGATACTCTATCGCCTTCTTCGTACTATGTTTCATTTTGATCGCAGTCGCATCCACCAATGGGACGGCCCCCAGCAGGCACAAGTTGAGCAGCTGCTCTAAAGTGCCCACCTCCGAGGCTGTCTACGATTAACACACACAAAACACCAGATGGTCGAAATTTGTGGAGCTCTCCAAGGTTACTAGTCCTCTGCAGAAAAGAAGCACCATTAAAAACCGACCAGTGAGAGCTCGTGCGGCAATTTGTGTAGCGTAAAATGCTGTAATCTAATGAGTCGAGAACGAAGAGAGAAAGAAACTGGGAAATACAGATAAAAAATAAAGAAATGGCCCCGTATCTGCATGTTTCACGGCAAAAGTCGTCGAAAAGACGATAGTTTTGCGTGTGGAGAGAGTGAAAAAAACGTTTATTTGATGCTCTGCACGAAGAAATCAGTGAGTTGTATTATGGAAGCGCTGCGTTACAGAGTCTAAATCCGTGCAGCGAAGGCTAACGAGCGCATCGAGGCACGTCAGACACAAGCGCTATCTGGAAGTTATCCTCGAAAACGAAGGAAAGCTTGTGTGGATACGGAGAATGATACGTGCCTGTCTCGGAGGCGATAAGGTGTAGAACGCAAAGTGGCGGGCAGATGCCACCACCGTGTCGTCTTAGCAAAACGTTGGAAGCACTTGCTTTTTTGAGCATCGCGTTGCACTGTCAGCGCAGCGTGATAAACGCTACGCTTTTTAGAATTAATTATGTTTGCCTTCTCCGGTATAAAGGCACCGATACAAATTATGGACGTGTTGTTATAAGTACTCAGATATGTGCAATAATTGCTTTTTACTTGACAATCGCACAAGTATGAACGTTGAAACTGGACCAATATTGGTGGGCGCTGCGGATGGGGTCAGTCGTTAAGTCTTTCACTTGTTGCCGTTTGGGGTATTGTTACAGTGAACAAACAGGCAATTGTACAGACAGACAGGCCGTATTTTGGGCGTCGAAGTATTGAAAGAAAGACTATCGTGTTTAAAAGACATAAATTTCTGGTGAGGTGGGATTACAACTCACGCAGCCACAATCCGGACGCGAGCTCCATCTAGCACTCTACCAGAGTATAGCAGATAACTGCAGAGTAAAGTATAGCAAGGGTATAGGAAAAAAAATGAAGTTGTGGAGGAGGAGGGAAACGAGAAGGCGAAAGCGTGAAACGCATGGTTTTAACTGAGAGAGATAAGCAAAAGTAAAGGAGAAAAACAAAAAGAGATAGATATAGAGAAGGGTGTGTCCATAAGCTTCAACAGTATATACAGAAATGTATTAAGTATCAGGAATGCATTCACAAAACGTTTCTTTTGTCAGCGTGTTTTTCCTGCTGGCTTCATAAATAGATACATCCTGAAGCGCGTTTGGCTGAAATACTCTCCTACAAATATATTTAGCGCAAGACGTTAATGCGTACATACTAGTCCTAAGCTTCCATAAAATTTTCGCAAGCCACCCGGGTCCGAGGACTTCGAACGGTCACCTGAGGCACCGCCATCATAATCGACGGAGGGTGGGAAGGGACTGAGGTTACTCCTACCTTCCCTCCCCTCTGCCGGAGAAAACTGCCGGACTCTAAATAACGTTTAATCACTCATTCTTTCATTAAGCAGTTTGAGAGTGAGTGGATGATAAAGCTCGTCTTTCAGGACGCCAATGTCAGCTTAATATCCTCAAGTGCTTCCTATTCCCTGTGTGTCCCAATTTTCACCGCAGAGTTTGTTGCGTTCAGTTGCTAGCCACCATGTTGTAGGCTTGCGCACTCGTTTTCTAGCACTTGGGTACGTTCATTATTTTCGTAAACGGGTGCTTTCTATGTGACTTATAGAGCGCGTAGAATCTTGCCCTTCTGTTTTCTTTGCTGTGTTCGGGACGCGTATTTCAGAATGCCCCGATTCCCTTAAAATACTGTCTGTGAGGTAGTTTAGGATATTTTAATTTTCGCTGTAATCTAGTCAATGCTCCCCATCAGCCTCCCCAAACTGGCATCGACAAAGAACCGCCTGTAGAGGGTAAAACGCGCAGTATTCTCAGTGTTATTGTTTCGTATGTTTCGGTAGCATATGGCTTGACATATAACTGGAACAGATGGAATCATCGTACGGAATGCAATACTTTGTTACAACTGCTGTAATGCTTTGTAATGGTGGTGTACACAAAGAACTATGCTGGTTTTTAAGGGCCACAGGCTTTACAAGTCACCGTACTGGGTAAAGCTTTCCGAAATCTAAATGACTGGGTACTTTTCTTGTCGACAATGAAGAACCAAAACTTGAACGGCTGATATATTTCAGCGCCTTGCTACTGAGGCCAATAATCATTCAGTGCAATATCTTTATGAATACAAAGAATAGAATGGACATTTTTACGCCTCATTCGTTTCTTGTAGTAGTAGAATATTCACTTGACGTTATTACCTTAAAGTAAGAAAAAAATACTCAATAGGTTTTTCTCTGTTCTAGTTTCCAGACCCGAAAGCCGGTCTCGGGAAACAGTCTGCACCATACCTTTTCTTCATGGCCAACATACAATGGTTGGTATTGTAGTTTATGATTATAGATAAATTGGTAAGCTGAAAAGAGCAAAGAAGTAAGATTTTAGAGAAAAATTTAATAAATTGTGGCTCAATGAATCTTCCCTTTGACAATTGCTAAATTTAGTTTGTATTGCCTAAAGATTCTTCTAGATATAGTAATGGCAAAAGCTTCGGTTCTTCGCTTAACGAAATGTCATAGTTCAAACTTGACAATAGCTTTGATTAGTTGGCCGTTCATGCCTAAACTGCAAGCACTAAAATATACGAGGACGCAAAGGAACAATTAAAAATCACCTAATGAGCAATTTGTTTCTTTACAATGAGCTTGTTGGGCTTCCTCAGATTGGGCAGGTTATCTTCTGTATGAACTTTCGGTAATCTCTAAACAGAAAACACCAAATGTTAACGTCAATTAAATGAACGGAGAAGTAGCGTGATAGGTTAGAGGGTGCTGTACTTTAGCGTTTTAACACACTTAACATAGCAGTAAATGTCATCATTTCAGGCAACACAAAAACTACAACGTCGATTCCGCTCTCACAAAAGAATAAAAAAACTGAAAAAGGCATGGTTGGCTTTAGGACGGCATTATAACTTTCACTTCACTGCTTGTTAGCAAGTCGTGACATGTATTGTTTTCTCAATACTCAGTCATGAAAAAAAAGAAAAAAACAATAAAACCAATAAATCTTCAAAAGCCATACTTTCTGAAAAAAAAACAACAACAACCATATTGCTAGCTTCTTCAACAGATTGTCACTTTTACTGCATTGCATTTCAGCGTGTGCAGCATTGCACTGTTTTATGACTGGTCGCTTGTAAAAAAAATAAAGGAAAGAAAAAAACAAAACACCAAAATTTCAGGTTCAACTTTCCGAAATTGAGAAAACCACATTATTGGCTATTTAAACATTTGGCAGTTTCAGTGTATTGCATTTTTGCCTGTCCTATTTTGTGCTTTTTCTTCACTGATCGGTTTTGCAAAAGTAGAAGTAAAAATCAAAAGGCATGCTAATCCGCGGATTTTTGTAATTAGGCTTCCCAAAGGTTGAGAAAATTTCTTCATTGCCTAGAGAAATAGGCTGTCGTGAGTTCACGCTCGGTCGCACCTGCTTTAACGAAATAAAGCGTGACGTCCTTTGAATAAAGAACGCTTAAGAAATCACTCTTACTTTCTAAACTAATATTCTTTAAAACGTCCAGAAGAAAAATTCAAGATGAACTTCGACAAAGGCGTGTTTTGTAAGGTAATGAAACCGTATGTACAACAGTGTTGTCATATTCCGTCTCGGTCAAAATCCGGTTGCCTGTAGGTAGAAAACGAAACCCGCACTCAAGCTCTAAAGTCAAGGAGTCGTCTCTGCATGCGCAACATTTACTTTTTTTTCACAACTTCTGTGTGATGATGTGAAACCACTTGAACCATTGTGTCTCCGCATTGAGACCTTTCTGCTTTTGTGACGTTGTACTAACGCCATTATGAAATAATGTCCGCCATGGTGTTGAAATGATCATGGTACTCCTCGTGACTGTTAGCTCGCAGAGCACAGGATTGAATCCCGGCCGTGGCGGCCACATTTTCGATGAAGGCGAAAATGCTTGAGGACTATTTGCTTCTATTTAGGTGCATTTTAATCCACCCCAGTGGTCGAAAGTTTAAGACCCCTCTGCTACGGCGTTTTTATTATTCATAATGTGGTTTTCAGACATTATACTTAAAGAACTATCATTATTATTTCTGACGAATGAAGGCGAATGAGTGCTTTGTCAACAATTGACTAAACAACTCATATAGGAAGTTGAAACAACCAGATTTAATCCCAGTCTTGCTAAAGCGATTTGATAAAACTGGCCCAAAATGAAGAGGGACACTTGCAGCGTGTATATGCAAACATCATCGTCTTTTCAAATACGTTCCGAAATCTTTTACTTTTAGCGCGTAAAGAGCTCACTGAAATGTACCTGAAATAGTAGACATAACACTATGGTATGCATTTTTTCAGTTTATCAAGCTATGCTTTGTTAGGAATAATTTCAAAGCCTTTGATAGCTTGTTTAACTTTATTATGTAGCATTAGCAACATGTTTTATGGTGCAGGTTTGTGTGTAGTTTGAATATAGACTGCCTTCACAAAAATTTTAACGAACACTCTCGTCTCTATGAATTAATAAATGGGAAATGAAAGACACTACGAAAAATGATCTTGTTCATAAGCTCAGAGCCAACAAGCTATATAGACGACGCTCTGATTCTAAAAACATCCTCGTTTAGCGACTTGTCTGATATAACGTGAATCGCAAAGCCACCGCGTCGATGGACGTGCCTACGTTCTACCAGACTGCCAACGATGACGACATGCATGGTCGCCTGGAGATGCTGTGTGCCGAAGTTCAAGGCTTAGAACACGGTAGCCGGTCAGCTCGGCAGAAAGGTGCCGTGAGTGACGTTCGTGATGTTCCGGACATCGCCATCCCCCACGTTCATACGCTGACAGAACGAGTCACGAGTTCCCCACACCGATCACAACGCTGCGTGCCCAATGATCCAACAACGCCAGCAAGTTTTTTGGAGTCATAGTCAGTGAAGGCCAAAAGCCATAACTAGAAATGCCTCGACAAGATCAGTGGAGATACGTCCTTAGCTGAGATCGTCACCACGGTCGCTGACACGCAAGTGCTGCTCGCAACTCCCGGTGAGAGGTGCATCGATGACGAGTCGTATGTAGAAACATTCCACGAGTGATACAGCGTCATCCACCACCATCTTACATAGTACACAGTAGAAAAGCACTCGGCAGTGTATTACGCAGATGGAGAGGGTGGCGGCACTCACCCACTGGACAATAGCACCCATGCGTTGAACCATGTCATGGTAGTAGTCAGGGACTGGAACAGCGCTTACGGCTTGCCACGCGGCACGTTAGTGTTATGGTGGAGGAAGAACAAAGAAAACTATTCTGCAAAAGAATCACAACATATCCACGGAGTGAATGATGATGAGTAAAGTGAAGCAGTCGTGCTTCTGTCCTAGCGACCATCGGACCGTCCGTCTGACCACCCGTCCAACCGTCCTGTCCACTTTTCCGTCCATTCGTCCATCTCTCTGTCTGTCTGTCTTTCTGTTTGTCCGTCTGCCTGTCCATCCGTCTGTCCGTCTGTCCGTCCATCCGTGCATCTAATGAACACATGAAGCACCACCATGTGACATTTTTTCATCATATATTTATCACGTACAAGTGTCGTCATTCAGCGGACATTCCAAAGACTAAATAAGGCATGGCTACCTACTACTACTACTACTACTACTACTACTACTACTACTACTACTACTACTACTACTACTACTACTACTACTACTACTACTACTACTACTAACATCGTAGACGCACGACCCGTCGCTTGAAGAGCCTCGCCCCTAAAAGTGACCATTCGTGTTCACCGTGCAGCCTTTCTGCCTCAATTGTAATGTATAATAAAGGCGGAGCATTTCATACTCGCACCTACTCCCTAACTCCACGTCGGCTTTGTCGTCTCAACATCAGGCAACCCCCACTGCGCATGCTCGTGTCTCGTGCCAGCTGTTACTCTCCCCCCTCTCTCACACCTCACAAGGCCGGCGTAGGCAGCGCTTGGTAGTAAAAACTAACTGCTCGCTCCACACAAACGTTCACTGGCCACTCCCTATTTGTAGGCACTGGATCGCGCGTGTGGAATTAAGTCAAGGGCCTCTTTGCTTGACCTTCACTCGAGTTGATGCTTTGCTTGACTCGAGTAAATGCGATGGAAGCAAGAGTATCTTTCACCAGTAGTGAGGCACAAGCCAACATCAGCGCCCAAGCACTCGTTGAAAGCAACGCATCCCTCATTCAATAAAATATAATAATAAAGACGAAATAACAAGTAAGCATTCGCAGACATTACCCCTTTGTGAAAAATTCACGTGATACCTCCACACTCTGCAACGCATTTACTTGAGTTCCCCCGTGGGAAGATGCGGGCGGCTTTTTTATTACTTCAAACAAATAGAAATCTTATCCTTGACAACTTATTCACCCCTTTGACAAGTTCTCAGTCACCCAGAAAATATTTTACAATTTCGTGTCTTGAGGCTCTTGTTTTAATATTTAAACATTCTTTGTAGGTATGCCTTTTGCCCACGCATATGTGTTATGCACACTCCTGCAAAGATTCTAAAGAAGTACATTGCCAAAGGCTACATAAGAGCTTTTATGTTGAGGTCTTGTGAGCATTAATTAGAAATATGTTTCGCTTATCGGGCCTAGAATAAAGCACGCTGGTCCGCTCCTAAATTATTTTATAGGCAACACATCTTGACTCGAAAGGTACGAACGAAAAGGCGCAAGATTTTTAGGAGCGAAGCTCCTAAAGTATGTTCTGAGCGTCCTGTCGTCATCGTATGTAGCCACCTCTCGATAGTTTTCGAACCGGCCGTAGGGGGCGGTGCTTGTCAAATAACGAAATACATATACGCTGAAAAATGCAAATGGTACGATACTAATGAAACGCTTCTTGTAGTATGACAAATAATATAAATCACAGCATATCCATGGAGTGAATGATATTGAGTGGGGCGAAGCGTCCGTCCTTCCGGCCGTCCGTTCGTTCGTCCATGCTTCCATCCGTCCATTAATTCATGCATCCGTCCATGCGTCCGTCCGTCTGTCCTCTTGTGCCTCAATCTGTGCGTCTGTCCACCCGTGCGTTCGTTCATACGTCCATCCGTCCCTGCGTTCATCCGTGTGTTCGTGCCTGCATTCATCTATGCGTCCGTTAGTCCGTCTGTCCGTACGTGCATTCGTCCATGCGTCAAACAGACAGACAGACGGACGCGGCTAGCGGATGATTCATAGTTTGTCGATAGTATGTATGATACGCGCAAGGCGGCGGTGGCTTGCGCTCAAAGACCCAGATGTGCGAGCGCTCGAAGCAGAAACGCGCCGTAAAGATGCGCGGCGGCGCCGAAAAAATCCCGGCGCATGAGAGCGGGAGGCCGAAACGGCGCGGCAGCGGTGTGCGGACCCAGCATGTCCACGTCATTAATGACAGAAAGTGCTCCATCATTAACCACGTGAACATGCTGTAACTTGTTTTTTTTTCTGAGTAAAACAGCTGTGCTTATATTTCTGCCCAAGTTTCCGCCCAACAATGAAGTAATTGTAAGCGGAGCGGGCGAAAGGCTTTGTCCCAAACAACCCGGGTAGCTTATGCAAAAAAGGCCCACCGTGAGGATGCGAAAAGTTGCGTAATAAAACACGAAGACAACATTTTCACTGCCGTAGTGTTATAGTTTGCAAATTACTCCCCGCAATGCTATGTTGATTGATTGATATGTGGAGTTTAACGTCCCGAAACCACCATATGATTATGAAAGACGCCGTAGTGGAGGGCTCCGAAAATTTCGACCACCTGGGGTTCTTTAACGTGCACCCAAATCTGAGCACACGGGCCTACAACATTTCCGCCTCCATCGGAAATGCAGTTGCCGCAGCAATGAAGTGTTGATCAGGCTAACTGCTGCATGACGAACATCATGAGTGAGCATTCGAAAATGTAAGCCAAGCAAGCGTGCAAAATATATTTGTCACCGATAGCATGGACGATGGTTGTGAAAACCACCACATTGTAAGTGCCTAATTGCTGCGAAATATACTGATAAGCTTGTTCGTTGAACTTCAGTCTGCATATTTTTTAAATCAGTTTAAGTCTTCGGGAACCGATCATCTTTGTCACTACTTCAGAATCACGGGTCGTTTTTAGCAGAGTGAGAAAAAAAATGCGCTTCTGCTCCACATCTTGCTCCTCCCTCCCCCAACTTGTTCCGGTGCAGGATGCGTGCTTTACGTTCCATTTGAAGTATTTATTTGACTCCCTCATCTTATATAATGTTCTGCACCATCGCTCCAGCAATAAAATTTAATCTTCAGTATTACTGTTTCACTCTAGCTGGCCGAATGCTGAATGAGAGATGTCTTTATTTTTTCTAGAAGCCTGTGGGATGCTGCCTTTTATGCGCAGAAACGAATCGAACACTGCAAGACAATACGCCTTGTTACGTGAGTAATGACATTTCTTAACAAAAAAGAGCACCTATTAAATTTCATAATTCATTTGAAACAGCAAGAATTCTTAACCATTGTTGTGTACTTGCGGGTACGTTGAAATTGGCAAGAACTTGTATTGAGTGCTCAGTACTTCCGCGTAAATATAATATGTACTTCTTTCAGGCAATTTACGGTGTGTGACAGATCAACATCCTTGGGGGCATATGGCTATATGCTGTAACGTCAAGAATATTTGTAAACCTCATTGGTTGTTTATTGCCCACGAAAGCTCATAGTCTTAATTCAGAATTTGTCTTCTAAAACAACGTCAAAATTTATTGCCCTTCAGCTGAAAGCTGCACCCATTGTATGTTGCCCCGCCGCGGTGGTCTAGTGGCTAAGGTACTCGGCTGCTGACCCGCCGGTCGCGGGATCGAATGCCGGCTACGGCGGCGGCATATTTGATGGAGGCGGAAACGTTGTAGGCCCGTGTGCTCAGATTTGGGTGTACGTTAAAGAACCCCAGGTGGTCGAAACTTCCGGAGCCCTCCACTACGGCGTCTCTCATAATCATGCACTGGTTTTAGGACGTTAAACACCACATATCAATCAATCAATCAATCAATCAATCATCGTATGTGGCTCAATGATTACGCAGCCTATCCTTGCAAGCATTTTGGTGTTCAGTTTTACGGGCATGCATGTTGCTCAGCGACTGCAACATTGTTCTTCGGCAAGTGGTTTTGTCTGAACAAAAATTGTACCTTTGAAAATTGCACTCTCGTGCGTTTCAGTGTCGAAAAAAATATAAAATATTTTCAGAATGAGTTAATCTGAAGAACTGCTAAACAAAGCATGAAAGTCTGGACACCCGCCAACTAGATCCAAGAATATGCTATCATTCTTTTGACGCTTGCATTGCTTTGTTAGGCCTACTTCACTGCATTTCTAGAAATAAACCTCAACTTTGTTTCTTGGAACATTTAGGTTGACGTAGCGATATAACTTATTCCCATGAAGGAGAGCCTGTGGGCTACAAATAACTTACGCAGTTACTTTCCTTTCAAGGTTATCCCACCTCAAGAAGCGTTGCAGATGAAATTAGGAGCGCCTAGAAGATGTCTTCTCGGACTGTGTGAAAATGGGGCTTGTAAGCCAACCGGAAAATATGAGCTCTGTGAGAGCATCGCGTCGTACGATCAGATGTAAGTTGTGCAAGAAAAAGAGTCTCACCATTTTATGGCCCCACATATGCTGATGCGGCGCGCCAGGGGGCAGTGTCGCACCAGCCCTCGCCACTCCTTCGGCCTGCGCAGAGCGAGCCATTGGCTGTGGCGCCTACCCCCAAGGCGGCAGTAGTTGAGTCTACTCCGCCTACTATTGAACAGAGACCAGAGACTCCAGGGTCCTCGGGTCTCAAGGCCTCACCTCACCAGGCGAGGCCCATGCTTCGAAAAACCAGCTCGCATGAGCGGGCATCCAGTGCCTCCGAGGAGGCAATGGATACGGCGGCACCCCTGGTGCCAAAAGAACGGCGCGGCTCTCTGGAGCGCGCCAAGAGAACTAAAAAGCTCATAACAGGGCCTGATGATGGCCCTGTTACTTGAGCTCGACCTTTCAGCTTAAACAAGTCACTCCCTTAGCGTACACACAGCACTACTTTACTTCCTATATGGAAACACAATTATACATTGGAACGTCAGAGGACTGCTTAAGAACCTCGACGATGTACAAGAGCTTTTATACAAACACTCACCTCAAGTGCTGTGTGTACAGGAAACACATCTAAAATCGTCCAATACAAAGTTTTTACGTGCTTACGTCTATACCGAAAGGACCGAGATGATGCTGTGGCGTCATCCGGTGGCGTAGCCATTATTATTAAACAAGGAGTAGCGTGTACACATTTACCACTCCAGACATCTCTGGAGGCGGTGGCTGTTCGAGCGGTACTTTTAAACAAACTCTTCACCATCTGCTCTTTGTATGTACCCCACCACCGTCTTGAAAGACGGGAATTTCAGTCTTTAATAGACGAACTGCCTGAGCCCTTATTTGCTTTTTGGGGACCTAAATGCACATAGTGGACTGTGGGGCGATTCTCGCTGTGATGCACGAGGTCGTCTCATTGAACAATTTTTCTTCTCTTCCGGTTGCCAACAAAACTTATCTATCAACCTCAGCATCGTATCACCTTCACTTCTACCCCTACTCAAATGGAAAATCATAAACAATCTACATGGAAGTGACCATTTTCCTGTAGTGTTGAGTTCACAAACAATGAATGTCCTCTACACGTTCCCAAATGGCTGAAACAAAGCAGACTGGAAACAGTTCCATAACACTACACGTTTGAGTTGGACAGACATATGTAGGTTAAACATAGATGAAGCTGTGCAGTACTTCACAGCTTTTCTAACTGACGCAGCAGCCAAGTGCATACCGCAAACATCTGGAATGCCCGGCAATCGACACGTCCCATGGTGGAATACAAAGTGTCGTAATGCGCGAAAGGAACAGAACAGGGCATGGAGGTTGCTTCGGAACTCACCAACAGCCGGAAATCTTGACACCTTCAAGAAAAAAGTCTCAAGGCAGGAGAACCCGTCGGCAGGCCAGAACAGAAAGCTGGCAGAAGTTTTCGTCAGGGATAAATTCATACACACAGGAGGCTAAAGTCGGAACATGGTCGGTAGGATAGCAGGAAAACAAGTACACACACTTCCACTCGTAAACACTCAGGGTGATACCTTGGAAGACCAGGCAAACTTCCTCAGTGCACACTTTAAACGGGTAGCCAGCTCGTCCCACTATACTGACACTTTCCAAAAATACAGAACAAGAATAGAAAAGCAAAAACTAGAGCACAAATCCACTAGATACGAGTCATATAACCAAGCTTTCAGTCTAGCTGAGCTCCGAACATCTCTAAACTCCTGCAGTACTTCTGCCCCAGGTTCTGACCGTGTGGTGTATGAAATGTTAAAAAACCTACCAGCCGAAACACGAAAAACTTTACTTTGTCTGTACAATGCTATCTGGTTTTCTGGCAATATCCCCACCTCCTGGAAAAAGGCTATTATTATTCCCATTTTGAAAGAGGGCAAGGACCCTTCTTTAGCTTTAAGTTATAGGCCCATTGCACTTACAAGCTGCTTGTGCAAAGTCTTCGAAAAAATGATAAACTGCAGACTTGCACATATTCTTGAAACAAATAATTTGCTCGACCCATTTCAGTGCGGGTTTCGAGAAAGTAGATCCAGCACAGACCACCTTGTTCGTATCGAGGCACAGATCAGAGACTCCTTCGTCCATAAACAATATTTTCTCTCTGTGTTCCTCGATATCCAAAAGGCTTATGATACAACATGGCGTTTTGGAATTCTAAGAGACCTGTCCCACCTTGGTGTGCGCGGAAGAAGTTTCATATAATCGAAAGTTACCTGTCAAACCGGACATTCCGTGTCCGTGTGGGCAGCGTTCTCTCCCAAACATTTGTCCAGAAAACAGGCGTGCCACAAGGTGGTGTGCTCAGTTGCACACTTTTTATTATCAAAATGAATTCTTTGTACTTGTCCATCCCCCGCAATATGTTCTATTGTACATATGTTGACGACGTTCAGCTTGGCTTCAAGTCATGCAACTTGGCAATGTGTGAGCGGCAGGTTCAGCTGGGTTTAAACAAGGTCTCCAAATGGGCAGATGAAAACGGATTTCGACTTAACCCACAAAAAATCACGTGTGTCTTGTACTCTAGAAAGAGAGGCATGCACTCGGAACCTGATATTCGACTGAACGGGCAACGTCTGTCCATCAAAGCCGAGCATAAATTCTTAGGCTTAATCTTGCACAACAAGTTGACCTTCGTACCACACATCAAGTATTTGAAAACAAAATGTTTAAAAGCCATAAATGTTATAAAAGTGCTGTCACGTACTACTTGGGGTAGTGACAGGCAATGCCTCATGAATCTGTATCGAAGCCTCATTCGCACCCGCTTAGATTATGGGGCCGTTGTTTATCAGTCTGCAACTCAAAGTGCTTTGACGATGCTGGACCCCGTGCACCATTTGGGCATCCGCCTTTCTACGGATGCTTTTCGCGCCAGCCCATAGAAAGCCTTTATGTTGAGTCAAATGAGTGGTCGCTTCATCTGCAGAGAACTTACATGTCCTTTGTTTATTTCCTTAAGGTGAAAGCGGATAAGAAGCACCCCTCATACTCTACTCTTAATGGTTGTCGAGCTCAATTCTGTTTCAAAACAGGCCTTCGATGAGGCAGCCCTTTTCAGTTCGCCTGAAAAGTCTAGCTGAGGAAAGTGGAGTCTCACTTGAACACAGTTTAATGGCTCCTGTCGCATATCCGCCACCGTGGCAGTGGCAGACTATAGACTGCGATGTGTCCTTTCTAGAAGTTACAAAACATGCGCCTATTGCCCATATCCGAACATACTTCCTTGAACTTCAACACAAATACACACGTCCTGAGTTTTTTACAGATGCCTCCAAGTCCAACTCCTCTGTGTCCTACGCTGCTGTCGGCCCGTCCTTTTCGAATGCTGGCCCTCTACATCCAAGCACAAGTATCTTCACAGCAGAAGCTTACCCGATACTTGTGGCAGCTAAACACATGAAACAATTACAAATACAAAAGCAGTAATTTATACAGACTCCCTCAGTGTGGTGACGGCTCTGCACAGTTTTAAAAAACAAAAAAACCCGGTCCTTGTCTCACTTTACTCCATTTTGTGCACACTCTACACACTCAAACAACATGTTGTAGTGTGCTGGGTGCCAGGGCACCGTGAGATCGAAGGCAACGTGATGGCGGATCAGCTCGCTGCATCCGTCCACAAAGCACTGCCCCTACACCAATATTGATCCCGGCCCTCGATCTTAAGCCGTCTCTCAAACGAAACCTCAGGGACTACTGGCAGAGAAAGTGGGATACACAAACACAAAACAAACTACACATTATTAAGCCACACCTTGGTCATTGGCTGCCAGTATCAAAAACGCGTCATACAGAGGTAATACTCACGAGACTCAGGATAGGACACACATACAGGACACATCTATATTTTGTCCGGTGGTGACCCACCATTGTGTGACAGATGTGGTGAAGCACTAACAGTTCTTCACATGTTAATTCAGTGCAAACAATTGGACACTATAAGAAAACAACACTTTCCATTACCCCACCGACAACATATACCTTTACACCGTGCAATGTTCGTCGGTAGGGAACCGCTTTTTAGTTATAAATCATTGTTAGCGTTTTTAAAAGAAATTCATAGTTTTCATATAATATACCCGGGCATTCCGTAGCACGACCTCTCCTGAGAGGTTTTCGCTGCGGTGGGTATACACAAGAAAGCACTTGCCTCACGGCCCTTGGACGCAAGGGTATGAACGATTGAGGCAATTGTGCTAATGCCATACATATCCACCATCGTCTTTTATTATCACCAACTTTTGTCATCTATTCGCACCACACACACCTTTCACGGCATGGTCATAATTTTATTACTTGTATGTTTTTACCCGCCTTACCGCGAGGAATTTTATGGCCCTTATACAGCCGCTAATCACAATCATTGTCCACATTCCTTGTCCCATGAACTGGCGCTCTTTGGCCATCAAATGACCTTTGTGCCAAAAAAAAAACACCATATCATCATCATCTGTGTATTCATGTCTGCGTTCGTCTATGCGTCCGTTAGTCCGTCCGTCCGTGTGTGCATCCGTCCATGCGTCACACAGACAGACAGACCGATGCGGCTAGCGGATGATTCATAGTTTGTCGATAATATGTATGATACGCGCAAGGTGGCGGTGGCTTGCGCTCAAAGAAGGAACCCAGATGTGCGAGCGCACGAAGCAGAAACGCGCCGTAAAGCTGCGCGGCGGCGCCGAAAAAATCCCAGCGTATGAGAGCGGGCGGCCAAAACGACGCGGCAGCGGTGTGCGGACCCAGCATATCGCCGTCATTAATTATAGAGAGTGCTCCATCATTAACCACGTGAATATGCTGTAACTTGTTTTTTTTCTGAGTAAACAGCTGTGCTTATATTTGTGCCCAAGTTTCCGCCCAACATTGAAGTCATTGTAAGCAGAGCGGGCAAAGGGCTTTGTCCCAAACAACCCGGGTAGCTTTTGCAAAAAAGGCCCACCGTGAGAACGCGAAAAGTTGCGTAATAAAACACGAAGACAACATTTTCACTGCCGTAGTGTTATAGTTTGCAAATTACCCCCCGCAATGCAATGTTGATTGATTTATATGTGGAGTTTAACGTCCCAAAACCACCAATGATTATTAGAGACGCCGTAGTGGAGGGCTCCGAAAATTTCGACCACCTGGGGTTCTTTAACGTGCACCCGAATCTGAGCACACGGGCCTACAACATTTCCGCCTCCATCGAAAATGCAGCCACCGCAGCAATGCAGTGTTGATCAGGCTAACTGCTGCATGACGAACATTATGATTGAGCATTCGAAAACGTAAGCCAAGCAAGCGTGCAAAATATACTTGTCACCGATAGCATGGACGATGGTTGTGAACCACCACATTGTAAGTGCCTAATTGCTGTGAAATATACCGATATGTTTGTTCGTTGAACTTCAGTCTGCATATTTTTTAAATCAGTTTAAGTATTCGGGTACCGATCATCTTTGTCACTACTTCAGAATCACCGGTCATTCTTAGCAGAGTGAGAAAAAACAATGCGCTTTTGCTTCACATCTTGCTCCTCCTCCCCAGCTTGTTCCGGTGCAGGATGCGTGCTTTACGTTCCACTTGAAGGAAATAAAACATTCGATTTGTTTGTCTCCCTCATCCTATCTACTGTTCTGCACCATCGCTCCAGCAATAAAATTTAGTCTTCAGAAATACTGTTTTACTCTAGCTGGCCGAATGCTGAATGAAAGTTGTCTTTATTTTTTCTAGAAGCCTGTGGGATGCTGCCTTTTATGCGCAGAAACGAATCGAACACTGCAAGACAATACGCCTTGTTACGTGAGTAATGGCATTTCTTAACAAAAAGAGCACCTATTACATTTCATAATTCATTTGAAACAGCAACAATTCTTAGCCATTGTTGTGTACTTGCGGGTACGTTGAAATTGGCAAGAACTTGTATTGAGTGCTCAGTACTTTCGCGTAAATATGATATGTACTTCTTTCAGGCAATTTTCGCTGTGTGACAGATCAACATCCTCGGGGGCATATGGCTATATGCTGTAACGTCAAGAATATTTGTAAACCTCATTGGTTGTTTAACGCCCATGAAAGCTCGTAGTCTGAATTCTGAATTTGTGTTCTAAAAGAACGTCAAAATTTATTGCCCTTCAGCTGAAAGCTGCACCCATTGTATGTGGCCCCGCCACGGTGGTCTAGTGGATAAGGTACTCAGCTGCTGACCCGCCGGTCGCGAGATCGAATGCCGGCTACGGCGGCTGCATATTTGATGCAGGCGCAAACGTTGTAGGCCCGTGTGCTCAGATTTGGGTGCACGTTAAAGAACTCCAGGTAGTCGAAATTTCCGGAGCCCTCTACTACGGCGTCCCTCATAATCATGCAGATGTTTTAGGACGTTAAACCCCACATATCAATCAATCAATCATCAATCAATCAATCAATCAATAATCATATGTGGCTCAATGAATTCGGTCGTTATGTGGCTCAATCACTACGGAGCCTATCCTCGCAAGCATTTTGGTGTTCAATTTTACGGGCGTGCATTTTGCTCAGCGACTGCAACATTGTTCTTCGGCAAGTGGTTTTGTCTGAGCAAAAATTGTACCTTCGAAATTTGCACTCTCATGCGTTTCAGTGTCGAAAACAATATAAAATATTTTCAGAATGAGTTAATGTGAAGAACTGCTAAACAAAGCATGAAAGTCTGGACACCCGCCAACTAGATCAAATAATATGCCTTCATTCGTTTGACGCTTGCATTGCTTTGTTAGGCCTACTTCACTGCATTTCTAGAAATAAAGCTCAACTTTGTTTCTTAGAACATTTAGGTTGACGTAGCGATAACACTTATTCCCATGAAGGAGAACCTCTGGGCTACAATTAACTTACGCAATTACTTTCCTTTCAAGGTTATCCCACCTCAAGAAGCGTTGCGGATGAAACTAGGAGCACCTAGAAGATGTCTTCTCGGACTGTGTGAAAATGGGGCTTGTAAGCCAACCGGAAAATATGAGCTCTGTGAGAGCATCGCATCGTACGATCAGATGTAAGTTGTGTGTATTGGAGCTGTTTATCGAAATAAAATTGAACTGCCTCGAAGAATGGCTTCATAAATTTGTGTTTTTTAAAGACTCGTACAATAGGCTAGTTGACTCGACGCTGCTTACCAAGCGACTGCTACATATGTGTGGTATGTTGGTGGTGCTTCTCGCATGAGATACGTAGAGAGTATACAAGAGGTGTAGAGCTGAGGCGAGCCCTTCTTGTTCACCGCTAGCAAGTATGGTTATGAATCTCAGTGTTCGTGTGAGATTTTAAATTCGAAGCATTTTAGCAAACTTCAGTGACATCGAGCGTGTCCATTCATCCATCCGTCCACCGTTTGTCCGTCGGTCTATCTATCTATCTATCTATCTATCTATCTATCTATCTAATCTATCTATCATCTATCTATCATCTATCTATCTATCTATCTATCTATCTATCTATCTATCACTATCTATCTATCTATCTATATCTATCTATCTATCTATCTATCTATCTATCTATCTATCTATCTATCTCTATCTATCTATCTATCTATCTATCTATCTATCTATATCTATCTATCTATCTGTCTGTCTATCTATCTATCTATCTATCTATCTATCTATCTACTATCTATCTATCTATCTATCTATCTATCTATCTACTATCTATCTATCTATATCTATCTATCTATCTATATCTATCTATCTATCTATCTATCTATCTATCTATCTATCTATATATCTATCTATCTATCTATCTATCTATCTATCTATCTATCTATCTATCTATCTATATATCTATCTATCTATCTATCTATCTATCTGTCTGTCTGTCTGTCTGTCTGTCTGTTGTCTGTCTGTCTGTCTGTCTGTTTCTACCCGCCTACGTCTGGGTGCTCTCATGATCACCCTTTCAACTTGGGGTACACCGCCCCGCCGCGGTGGTATAGTGGCTAAGGTACTCGGCTGCTGACCCGCAGGTCGCCGGGATTGAATCCCGACTGTGGCGGCTGCATTTCCGATGTAGGCAGAAATGTTGTAGGCCCGTGTGCTCAGATTTGGGTGTACGTTAAGGAACCCAGGGGGTCGCAATTAGCGGAGCCCTTGACTACGGCATCTCTCATAATTATATCGTCGTTTTGGGACGTTAGGCTCCACAAATCAAATCAACTGGAGGTACTCCAAACTTAGTATGGGAGGATAAGAAATTTTTACTAATATGGCGCGCTGGTCATGACATCAATACACACTCTCGTCGCGTACATCGACGAACACTTTCCAGAAAACAGTGGCATACACCTGGGGCCGGGTATGTTCCACTAGTGTGTGGGGTATGCGCCCCAGATATGGATATTTTATATCTTTCAATTTTACCGCTTGTGCGTCAACAAAAATCAGGCATAGAGAGAGTTGGCCGTATGAATGCAACGAAATGTCAGCGTTCCAGCACAAATCAAACTTCAGAGTTTCGTGCAGCAATCAAATATTGAACCACACAGCAAGTTCCCGGAAAATCTTGCAAATAGATCCTAATGTTCGTCAACCGTCAATTCTAGTTGCAGTATTGGCAATCAAACTTTATAGACGTTACTTATTGTCATTGGGTTGTGATGTCGACAAAGGCAGAAAATGCAGGTCGAAGATTAAACAGTCCATTCGGGCTGAACTTGTGCGCAGTCTATGAAAAGTCTGATTAGAGTGATACACACAGGTACCGATAACGGCGAAGAGAGCGTCAGCCGTCATTTCTACTGACAAGCGGTGAAGCACGGCAGCATTTGCACACGTGCCATGAAATATTCTGGCGTTGTCACTAGCAGCTACGTATGTTCCAGAATATTCTCTAATGTTCGCGAAGTGGGAGTATTCTTAACAAAAGAATCTACTGTAGCCGCGAAGCTTCTCGATTCCTGCAGGTGCAGCTTGTGCGCCCCGCCACGGTGGTCTAGTGGCTAAGGTACTCAGCTGCTGACCCGCAGGTCGCGGGTTCGAATCCTCGCTGCGGCGGCTGCATTTCCAATGGAGGCGGAAACGTTGTATGCCAGTGTGCTTAGATTTGTGTGCACGTTAAAGAGCCCCAGGTGGTCGAAATTTCCGGAGCCCTCCACTACGGCATCTCTCATAATCATATGGTGGTTTTGGGACGTTGAACCCCACATATAAATCAAATCAATCAGATGCGGCTTGCGATGAGAATTACTAACAGTGAGAGGGGTCGACAACAAAACTTGAGAAGGGCATGTGGCAATATGTACTTCTAAGATACACCCGTCATATCGGTTTAACGTCAATTGAAGTTAGGCGCCATCCCCTGAGGTTGATTTTCTGTAGCAGTGCTGAGGGTGAGGCCAGCGCAAAGACCAGCGCTTCATATCATCTTACCTTTTCTGGTGTCCCTAATATTTATGTTGCTGTTAGCATCGTTTCACAGCTATAAAATATTGCTATTATGAAACATACACGGCTGTTCGACGTATGGTTGTGCGTGGATATGTACATATATTGAGTGTCCCTTCATAAAATCTTGCTCAAAAATTATAACGCATTCACCTTACTTCCGTATGCTTTGAATAACATCGATTCGCATTGCACATGGCATCTGCTGAATTAATTCATATTTCTGCGGATATGTAAGATACCTACTAGATATTTGTTGGACGTTATGTGAACTTTGTGTAGCTTCATGTGGCTGATGACGATGGCTGAGCACATTGCAGTGGGTGGGAAACATCAACTAGTGTGTGGAGTACCACATATTTGTGGCACAGTTACATAGTGGAATCCACGATTGTTACTTTACGCTTTGGTCACGCTTTATTACACAAAAAAGAGCTGATTCCTTACTCGAAATAAATATTGCATCGGGTCTTTTTGCAAATAAATTTTAAACAGTTTGCCTGTCGATTTGATCATGGTAACTGGCTTTCTCTGTTTATGGCGGGTTCGCATGGGAGAATTTTATCGGTATCCACATGCACGGCCCATACGAATGAAGTTTTAGGACAGTCGTCCATGTTTGTTGAAGTGCAGGAAGCCCCGTAGTTAATAACTGTGTGGTTGTCGAGAGTAAAACGCTTAGTGTCTTTAGAGAATTTGTCAGTGTAGGAGCGCTGACACAGCTTCTTGTTACTTTTATGCGACTATTGTTTGGTATGCACGCCTAAATATAGTGAATAAAGCACAAAATTTAAACCATAAGTTTTATAATTTTTTTGTCCTCGCACAATAAAGTTCTCTCAATTTTGTGGGGTTTGCCCGAAAAATAATGCCATTTCTCCTTTCTCGTGGTTCGGTCGCGCACTTTTTCACAGTTTTCTTCTGTTTTTTTCTCATCATACTACTAAAATATATACCTATAGTGTAGTTCGTATTCTTCAGCTTGTAGTATTTTGACGTATTATTTGCTTCGCGAGTCGAGTACATTTTAAATGACAGGGCATTTTCCATCTCACCTACGCAGGGTGTTCGTTTTATGGTAAATGGCTTCATACCAAGCCTAATCTTTATGAATGCTTGATGATGATACGTTTCAATGTTTCGCAGATTTTTTCATGAACATCAGACAATACATACACAAGATTTGATCTTATGATGTGGTTTTCCAAATGTTTAAGCCCATCTTCTAATCATCTAAAGGCCCTTCTCAACTACGATGTGTAAAGTTTTGTATGACACCACTTATTCTCCAAGTTTTTAAACAGCGTCTGTTGTTTTTAATTTCCGGAAGCCGACCTATATAGGTATATCTTATATCAGTAGCAATATCCTTGAATTGCCTAGCAATTTTGTTGTAATCGGAGCCTCAATTTTTTCCTGTATGTCACCAGCCACTAGGAGAAGTTTCATGAATATCACCACACCGGCAACTGCACCAGGAAGCTGTGGGCGTGACATAAGCCAGAAGAATGAGAACTAAAACACTTAACTTCCTCACCAAGCATGAAGAAGATAGTGGGTTAGGTGTCTGCATTCTTGTGGTACTACTTTGCCTAATGGCTACAGGGTCTCTGAATAGTGGCCCTGGTCTTGTGTGCGGAGCACGTCAGTATAGTCGTACATGTGGCCAGTGTCTCAATACCGACAAACGTTGCCATTGATATGTGTGACGCTGATAATGTGAGGCAGTACCACAATACGAGTACCCCCACTATTAAGGGGTACTCTGCCAGGAAGCTCCATATAGATTTCCTAATCCTTTCTCTTTTCGGCAGTAATAGGCAATTATATATATATATATAATATACTATATATATATATATTATATATATTGTTAAGCGGTTTATTGGCGGACACTCAGCGATGATTAACGACAGCGACAGTCAATGCGGGGATCGACTCTCTGCGCGAGCTGCTCTTCTTCTTATGAAAAGGGCGACCCACTAGAAGGCGCTGAAGAGGACGACCCACTGTTCAAAGGCTTTACCACAACTACCCCGGGTACGAAAAGGGAGCCGCCTGGCGACCTAACAGGTGGTTACAATGAGCGGGTCATGGTAGGCCTTCAGGCGCTCCACGTTAACAATGTCGCGTCCTCGACGACGCATGTCCGAAGATGGTTCGATGGGTTCAATCAAGTAGTTGACTGGGGAAGTGCATTTGACGACACGGTAGGGGCCTTCGTATTTGGGCAATAGTTTTGAAGATAGGCCAGTTGCAGTAGTAGGGATCGAGAGCCAGACGAGCGCTCCAGGGAGGAACGTGGGCGCAGTAGTGCTGGCGTCAGCGCGAATGACTTTTTGCCGCTCTTGATCATGCGCTGTAAAGGTCCTTGCAAGCTCTCGACACTCTTCAGCAAGCTTGGCTGTAGCAGAAATAGGCGCCCACTCGGACGGATCTGGCTTGTACGGAAGTATAGTGTCGATGGTGTGCGACGGGTGCCTTCCATATAATAAAAAGAAAGGTGAAAAGCCAGTAGTGCTTTGAGGGGCGGTGTTATATGCGTAGGTGACGAAGGGTAGAATGTCATCCCAATTTGTGTGATCGGCGGCGACGTACTTGGAAAGCATGTCGCCGAGCGTACGGTTGAAGCGTTCCGTGAGGCCATTCGTCTGCGGGTGGTAAGCAGC